ACCTTAACCTTCCCCCACCCCTCAGTCTCTGCCTCTTCCCCCCAGCTCACCCCAGTGTCTGCCTCTCGCCCCTCTTATTGTCTTAGGTTGCTACTTGGACTCCCAGAGCACATGTGGAAGCTGAGCTCCTGCCTGCCCATGCAGCAGTGTCAGTGCTACTGATTGGTTGGGCAGGGGAAGGAGTTTCCATGTGATCCGTGCCTGGGAGAGACCCCAGTGGCAGTCAGAACCAAGCTGTGGCCTGGCAGTAAGGAGGATGGAAGGGGACAGTGGTGGGGAGGGGCAGAAGCTTCAGAGGGCAACCCGAATTTGGGGGGTGGGGGGTGCAGCAGGCTGGTGTGGGTTTGACTGTGGCCCTGATCCATGCTTAGGGCCAGTCAGAGCTTCAGCAGCTGCGTGCTGCCCCTGCTCTTTCCCCCTCTTTGTATGTAAAAATAATACATGAGGCTTTTCCCCCCCATACTGACTGAGGGGAAGGGGGTGCTCATCTTAGATTTGAGTAAATATGGCATTTCAATTACCTGTTTTAACTATGCTATCCTTAATAATAGGGGTCTTAAAAATCTGAAGTATATGCGTTTTAAATTGCATTTTTTAAAAAAAGTCAGTATTTATCTTGGTTGAAACATAATGCTGTGACTAAATGTTTCAATATTCTACAAAATGGAACCATATGTGAAACTTTGATTGTTTCTTAAGTGAATTAGTTGGCTGTCTCATGTAAAAAAAATAGTAGTAACAAGAATACAGCGTGAGGACGGTGAGACTGAGAGGGCTCCTACAGATGTGCTGGGAGCCTGCTCAAATATGTTGGAAATCCAGCACATCAGAGCTGGATTAATCGAGTCTGCTGGAGCAAGAAAATTGACATGCTCTGGCAGCCTTCCACATCCTTGTGCATTCCTGCACTGAAAAAATGGCAGCAGGGAGCTTTGAAATAAAACACATTTGATGACCTTTAGTTCCAAGCACCCTGCCACCATTTTTTCAGTGCGGGGATGCTAATACACATTCGTGCAGGCATTTTTAATTAGCACAGCTCACTAAGTAAAGTACCCAGTGCCGCATCCCTGAAAATGTGTAAAAATGCCCAGAGTGATTAGTGGAATCAATTTAGTCCTAATCGAGTGGAATTGATCAACTGGGAAAATGACAGTATTCAGAATTTAGCAAAAGAATTCAATAATATCCCTGAGGTGTGTGAAAGAGGAAGGAGAGGTTAGCTTTTAGCAGTTTTTAAATTAATTCACATATTTATAGTGACATTTAAAACAAAAGACATTGAGAAATATTATGATTTCTGTCAACAGGATGTAAAGTGGAATCTATTTTCCTAAACATTGAAGCTGTAAACACTCACAGAGATAAACCAGAGGTAAGAATGTGTTTCCATCCAAATACTTTAAGTGTTCCACTTTTTGAGATTCGTCTTTTTGTTTAGTTTTCTTTTGGATTTTTTTAAATCCCGTCTGTTGCCCACACTTACGTTCAGCAGTTGTATGCACTGTTCCTATTTTACCTTTTATAGTTAGTTAGTGTTATCCGTACATTGTTCGCATATGTTTTGTTGCTGAGATAATTAGGTTTTATTCCTCTCCTTGACTGATTTTAGTCATCCACATTGTCAGAAATAACATGGGTTAACTAAATAGACTTGGACACTGTTGCTCAGCATTTTCAGCTGTGGGTGTAGAGTGCTTGAAGTCTCAGAAGTCTCACAACTAAAAATGAGTTGAACCTTATGTTTGCCTCCTTTATATTTACTGTTTTGAAAAGTGAAAATACTGAAGCCAAAATCTTTACTAATAACAATCGAAGTGAGAGCAGAGAGTTATTCACTCTTAAGAAATAGTTCTTCACCTCTCTTTCTCACTTTTAAAAGGTGTGCTAAAACATATCAAGACATCAGAGGAAAGTTTTTGGTTGAGTCTGATACTTTTTTCCATTTTAGAATCATCAGTCCACATACCCTTCCTTAATCATGCATTTCCAAAATGATCAAGACCTGCTGTTAACAGGAATTAATGGAGTTTCAGGTGCAGTTTACCTAAAGCAAGTGCAGAGCTTTGTCCACACTGAGAACTTTGAGCATTTTTTCTGGGATTGTCTACACTGCAAAGTTAAGGTGCTAGAAAACAAACCAGAAACTGTGGTCACTAGCATGTGTCAAAAGTTAGGTATGCTGTTCTCTTAATTTCTTTTGTTACCCATGCCAACTTGATTGTGCTATCATCTGCTGCATTTTTTCCCCTTCTAGGAATATGGTTAGACTCAGTACAGTTTCACTAGCGGTAGAAACAGAAGCACTAACAAAGACTGGAATTGGGGAGTTTTCACAATAGTGAAGTCTTAATCTCAAAGGAAGCCCTGAGAAATCAGGTTTTGTCTGTTCACTGCTAAAAATAAGCATGTATTTTATGCTGAAGCATATAACTTGATACAAAATTGTAGGTAGTGGTTATCAAGGCAGATTTTGTTTGTATGTAGCAATCTTTGCTTCAGCTCAAGACTAGTCAGCTACTTCTGGATGAAAACCGCCTTGTCTCCATTAAGATGTTTATGTCAAAATTCCTCTTGAGTTAGCTGTCTTGATGTGAAACAAATGTTGGGGTTTTTTGGTTTTGGTTTTTGTTTGCTTTTTTTTAGCAGTGAAGACAGACCAAATTGTAAAGTTGCCTGTACTTCCTTGATATTATCAATCCTCTTCTGGCTGTAGAGGTGCTAGACTAGTGCTGCAAGAAAAGTGAAGTCAGTGGAAGAAATTGGGAAGAAAAGAACCATTTGTGCTAGTCATGTGCAAAGAGAGAGAAGGTATCAGGCTTGTCGCCGCTTTTTAATTCTTGCCATATCAGAGTACATGATGTTTCTGTGATTCTTTGTTGTGTACTCTTATCAGACCCTATGTGGACTTTTGTTCAGATTGTCTACAAAACTCTCTAAAGCATGGGTAGCAAACTCAGCGGGACACAGGCCACATGAGGGATGGGGCTGGATTGGGCCCCCTAGGTGTCATGGCCCTGTGCTCCTGGTGCAGGATGTGACCCAGACTGGCTGATTCATTCTGCATGCGACCTACAGGGCTGGTCCCAGACCCACAGGCAGCATTGCGGGACAGATGTTAGGGCTCTACAAGCAGGATCTCTGACATCCCTGCCCTAAAGGAATTTTAATTTAATGGTTTTGGTTGTGTTGACCTGACAAAATACTGCCTTCAGTTGGGATTATGGCCAAAAGTGTTGCTCTGTGTCCTCTTTAAAATCCCATCTCTTTTTACTACTTGCATCTTGTTTTCCTTCATTTTTTACCATTTTGCTAGATTTTCAACCTATGCCACTTATTTTCTTGCATACTGTGCACACCTTGTTTTGGGAAGGCAGAACCTAGAAAATATTTTTCCAGTCATAGCCTAGAGGCTGGGCTGCAAAAGGCTGCTGCTTTTCTTAGCATGAACAAGCAGCAGGGGTGAAGTCCAGGGTTAACCCTTTCATAGCCAATGATAAAATCGGCAGCATTTTTTGACTGTTTAGCTCACTGATTTTTAACCTGTGGTCCGCAGACCCCTTGGAGTCCACAAATCAAAATGACTATGATCAATCAAAAGTATGTGGTTATCCACACTTACAGTTCAAAGAGGTACGCACCTCCACTCAAATCTTCCAAAGAGGTCTGCACCTCCATTCAAAGTTTTTTAGGGGTCCCCAAATGCAAAAAAGGTTGAAAACCACTGGCTTAGCCAAAAGCCACTGTCAGTTCAGTAACAGCTGTTAATAGATTAACTTCCTGCTACTTGCTCACTGAGAGAAGCAGGAGCCATTTTGCAGCATAGCCTCTCCATGCTTCTGCTCCCCTGTGCTTCTGTCCTGGCAATGAAAATCAGCTTCCTTGCTTAAATTGCACATCTCAATTTTTGGAGGGCTAATTTTTTGGCGGAAGTGTGTGTGGTATGCAAGTAAGTGTAGTAATGTTGTTTTCATAATATAGTAAGAGCCAAACAATAGTGCCAACGTAAAGAAATTGGAATGCATGCAACCTTATCCATTTGATGGATGAGCACTTGTCTGAATTGCTTAAAACGAAACTTTTTCTTATACACCCAAATGATGCTGTATTTGCCCCTTTGTCAATATGGTGGTGATGCAAATGATGAAATCTACCAATGAATGAAGAGCTACTGATAAAACACAAGGAAGGGCTAAGCGAATTTACACCATGGCATGTGTTTCCAGGAATTTACTGCTAAGAATAGTAATTTATTAAAAATGTTGGTTTGGAAAGAGCTTCTGTTAAGGCTCTGTTAGTTATGAATATTATAAATACATGAAATTTAGAGCCAAATGCCACAATTTAACACTTTTGACATATTCCAAAGTGCCTCTCAAATGGTACAGAGTTGTGACTGTTGTAATGTAGTGTCATTTCAGGTGGAGGACAATGGTAAAGAAGGGAAGTGCACTGCAGTTGAAGATAGATGAAAGCTTTGGATAAAGATACCAAAGCAAACCTCAGTCACCCAGAAAAAAAAATCCTGAGACTGTTTTAGCAAAGGTGCACTCAGGAAAACTCATGCGAAGTAAAGTTTTTATGATGCACAGTTTATCGAATGTGATGATGAAGGCCTAAGTTTATTATGTAAAGATTCAGTTATAATTTTGCTCTTTAAAACATCATTCATTTGCTTTTGTGTCTACTGTGTATGTAAATGCTAACTCCTACCAGTACTCTTAAAACTGAACATCTCTTTTATTTAATTAAGTTGTAATATAATAAGAAAAATGCAAACTGTGAAACTTCTTGTTAAGTGGTACAGTGCGCGTCTACTTGTATGCAAAATTCATACTGATAAATCATATGTACTTCAGCAATCACTTATTTTTTCTCTGCTCAGAGAGCAAACAATATATTTTGTATCGTGGTAAAATCTATTTCCTTTGCCTTTCAGGGCCAGGTATATGAAACCTAACTGTACAAAGCCTCTTTAGGGGAGAATATAATTTTTAGAATGATATTATTTTAGTTTAAACTATAAATTGAATTCTTAAGAAGCTTTTAAGCATGGTATTATTTGCTTTATGTTTAAATGATAGAGGAGGAGACAGAGTTTCCAGTTTCTTTAGGTCTGAATTATTTGTTTTAGGCCCCATTCCTACAACTTTAGGCTTACCAGCTAGATTGCTGTGCTGTGCTGTGCTGTTTTCGTTTTGGATGACTCATTGTTTCATAGATTTCATAGACATTAGAGCTGGAAGGGACCTCAGAAGATCATCAAGTCCAGCCCCCTGCCCGAAGGGCAGGAAGTCAGCTGGGGTCATAGGATCCCAGCAAGATAAGCATCCAATTTACTCTTGAAGGTGTTCAATGTAGGTGCTTGAACCACCCCCGATGGCAGGCTGTTCCAGACCTTGGGGGCTCGGACAGTAAAGGAATTCTTCCTTATGTCCAGCCTGAAACGGTCTCGCAGTAGTTTATGACCGTTTGACCTCATCATCTCCTGGGGCGCCCTGGTGAACAAACGTTCCCCCAGATCGTGGTGGTCACCCCTGATCAACTTATAGGCGGCCATCAGATCACCCCTGAGCCTGCACTTTTCCAGGCTAAAGAGCCCCATTGTGTTGAATACAGACATACTGTGCAAATGCAACTCTTGCAAAATAAGTAGATGTTTACTCAGTTTAAAAACTTGAACTATTTTAGTTTGGGGAAGGTATTTTTGTCTTGAATCGCTTTTTCAAGTGTAGATTTCATATTTTAAACGAAGCATGTTGCAGGTAATATGAAAACTTAGATGAGGAATGTAGTGCAGTATTAGTCCTAATTCAGGAAAGCACTTAACACCCATTGAAATTAAGTATGTTCTGAAATACTTACTTGACTAGGAGTGGATTTAAGTGGTTTGCTGATGGGGGACTTTAATAAGCTTTCCTCTAAATATGAGTAATTTGAAGTGTTAGCCATATCATCTGTATAGCAGTATCCTAAAGGTGTTGCTCCAAAGAATTCTTTGATTATGAAAAGTCTTTTGTTTAAATGAGTGCAGCTATGTACTTGTGAAGGAAGCTGACTGGTATTTTACTGCTACTTACTGCTGCATGATAAATATTCTCCTCTGTATTTTTATTATTATACAGAATGTAGACATTTCCAGACCTCCTGAGGAAGCCCTTGTAACAGTCCCTGCTCATCAATGAATCCTGTGTCCTGATCAGCTATCAAACTTGGGGTGCTGTTTTCATCCTACTACTTTAAATTTAAAAAAATCATTCCAATCACTTAGAAATCAGTTTTAAAAGTACCTAAATCTTTGTATAGCATTTGACATCTTCACTAAAGATCCACTAAAACTATTTTACCATAATTTAATCCACTGTGAAAAACTGTGGAATGTTAATTTGCACTCATTTGCATGCTGTTGATTGCTATAGCCTTATGATAATGCAGCTCTAACCTTTATTTGATGTCCAGCAACCATTAGATGTTAGCTGAAAAATGTTTACTTATGCAAGCTGTAGCACATAATATTTTTTGTGTGTTAAGCACAAGCTGTAATTTATTTTCTGGACATGAGTATTATTTATTTCACTGTCCTTGGGAGTGATTGGACTGTATGTAGCAGAAAATAACAAATTATATTTACCATAGAATTTAGCCCTGCTGCATTTTAGCTCTAGTGTTGTAGATGCACTAATTAGAGGGTTTACTAATGGTTCAATCCTTTGGGGGAAGTGTAGCAAATTTTCTTTTAGCCTGTTCTCAGAAGAAAGTGCACAAGTTTTATTGCATATGGTTTTTCTTGAATTTTTTGCTTTGAGGAGTGGTTCATGTGTAGGAATTGAGCTTAAGTATTAAGCATCCCTGTTCATATTCCATGGTCTGGTATGCAGTAACCACACTGCTGTAATATGTTGCTTCTGATATGCCTAGGTGACCTATGAATGTTTACAGAAATACTGTGCGTGTCTGTCTTGAATCTGTGTAGGTACAATAAAAAGGGCAACGGTCGCTTCAGATTACTCTTTCAGTGATACTGTACCTAGATTTTAATTTGTACTTGTTTTTTGTAAAACAGAGTTGAGGGAAGAGGGAAAGGTGCTCAAAACCCAATAAATGTGTATGTAAGAGGTCATGTGTTTTACTGTGGGTCGCCAAGTGCTTGCTATCAGGAGTATGAAATATTACAGTCCTTTTAAATATGAAAAAAATGAACTGCAGCTTATTTGCATGTGGCATGTCCTTGCTGCCTTATGATGATGCAGAGGCCAAATTAAAGCATATCTGCACTGCAGATTTACTGTCAGGTAGCATACTCAAACATGCCGTACAACAGGGGTAGGTAGCTCCTGGCATACATTCCAGAGCATGGCGCACACAGACATTTTGTTTGGCACGTGTGCCTTGGGGAAGCGGCTGGAGCTGCACTGCCACAACAAGTATTGGGCCTCTTGCAGTTCCCCCGCTGTCCACCCCGGGATGCCAACACCTTATAAGTTGAGATTGCAGGTGTTGCCCAAAAAGGTTGCTGACTTATTGCCATACAACTTCTTCTAGGCTGCTTCCTGAATTGGAAGCAGAAGTAGATGTATTTGCATAGTGCTACTTCGAGCTAATAAGCACTGTCTCAGTATATGTGTATTTGGAACTGCCTTGTTTATATAATGTTGAATATTAGAAGTCATCAAGTCTAAAAGTTGCATCTGGAAGAGTAACCCAAACTTTTTGTTGCATAAATGGTCTATTCTGTTAATAAATATGGTTCTCTGGTAGGTCTTTTATTGAACTATTTTTAAGTATAAAATTAAATTTTTGCAATTTTTTTCATAATTTGTTCAATAAATCACAGATGAGGGCTTTTTCCTAGCAGTGTGTGAAGTGGGCCCTATTCAATTTGTATTTGGCCTGAACTGGAGACAGTGATTTGATTTGTTGATTTGGATCACTGTCCCCGATTCGATTCAGCCGAATCTGAAGATTCAATGCTGATTCAGAGAATCAGCACTTTGGACATAGACATAGCTTTAAAAGTTTTCTACGTACCTTGAGGTAGCAGGTGTGGCTCATGATCGCTGCGAAGCTCGGGTGCATGGAGTGTCCCACAGGAGTGTGGGGGTGGCCCTCCATGTGCTCGGTGGGAAACGGGAAGTGGACAGGAAGTACTTCGGTCCACTTCTGGGTTTGCTGGGGAGCACATTGGAGGGCCTGCCTGCGCCCCTCCAGCTCAGTGATCAGCTGCGCAGGGATTCCAGGTGCTTCCCCACACCCAGGAGGCACCAGTCACGGAGCCGGGGAGTACAAGGGACCACCCCCCCGCCCCCCGGTTCTCCCCAATGGACCTGGAAGTGGACCAGAAGTGGTTCTGGTCCACTTCTGGGTCTGCTGCCAAGCGCACTGGGAAGCCCACCGTGCTTCTGTAGGACACTCGATGTGCTCCAGCATCACAGCACTCACAAGCCACCCGCTACCTAGAGGTATGGAGAAAAAAACATTTAAAGCTGTGTCTATGTTTGAACCTCTGAATCTCTCCAAATCAATTTGGAGGGTTCTGATTCGATTCAGAGAGGTTAAAGGGTCCTCTGATTCAATCTGGATTCAAAGAGTCAGCCACCAAATTGGGCTGAATCTCCACCTAATCAAATCAGGGACTGAAGCTTTGCACAGCCCTGCTTTTTCCCATTGCCACTGTAGCTATCGGTTTATGTCTGCCTGACTCCAGCTTATAGTCTACTACACTGATAAAATTCTAGTGATGGCATACATTACAAGGTAAGGCATCAGAAGAGGACTCAGGAGACCTGAATTCTGTTTATGACTGCCATGGGAGAGTCATGGCACATCATGTCACCTCTCTCTTTCAATTTCCCTATCTTTTAAAACTGGTTTACTTTTCTTGAAATATTTTTTGAGCTCTGTGGATGAAGAGTGCCATGTACATGCTAAATCTTAAGCTTTACTCTTTGTCTGCACAATTCACTCTTGACAGTATTTTTACTCTGTAACCCACTGGCAGTGACATTTTTCAGGGATTTGAAGGGAAGTTACTTACAAGCAAGATATGGAAAAGGAAGAAGGTACCCTGTTAACTTAACTCTAGGGCTTGATGTAGAGCCCAGTACTGAGGAAATCTTGTAAAATTGAAAACATATATTTAAAGCTCATTAAGGGCACATGAATAGGTTACCGGAAGGTGCAAGTTGCTCTTGATTTAGTTGTCATTTACAGTGAGGTAGGACTATGCATGGAAACAATTAGCAAAAATAGTTCACACACTGAAAATCTCCCTTATTGTTTACCTCATAGTAAATTGCTCATACGCCCAGGCCCTTAAAGCGGATTCTTCCTTTTAATGAGTATAGTTCTTCCATCCTACTGGTGCATCCTACCCATTGTAGGCAATGGAATCACTTTGTAGGTGTCTGAAGTTTAAAAACAGATTAAGCCATCAAAACAGGCAAAACAGGCACAGCTCTGCCGTTTACACATAAAGGCTTAAATAGATGGGTGCTTAACTTGTCCCTTGTAAGGTCTGGGGTTCTGTGCAAGAGAATATCCTCAAATGCGAATCACCCATTGTCTATTTTTAGCCTTGATGTAGCAATGGTGTAAATTATTTAACTACAGCTTGCTGTTGTTGCAGTACATGGAAGCCCTAGCACTGGATGAAATGTGTTGTTAACCATGATGACTCTGCACTGAATTCCAAGATAAATCATCTAGTACATTAGCTGCTATGATGTTTTGTGTTTTTAATTAGTCTATTTCTTTTAACCCTATATATTTTATCTTTTTTGTTTTCTGAATGTTGATGCACTTCATAAACTTGCTCCATTAGCTTTCAGGAGGCTTCCTTTGTGGATGTTGCCTTTTAAACTCTCCTGCAATTTAATATAGTTAGAGTAAGCCCCCTTATACCATATCTGTTTATCTTGCAACCAAGTACAATAGATTCACATAAATGGTTTTGGACAGAGTACTTCCTGTTCACAAAGAACAAATGGCCAGGTTCTGGCTTTGTCATGGCTGCTGTTCTAGTAGGGCTACCATATTTCCATTCCAAAAAAGAGGAGACTTGTCAGGGGGACACCTCACTCTCTACCTACCCCCCCCTGGCCCTGTCAGTGCCCCTTACTTCCAACCTGCAGGTCTCTGTCCCTGCTGTTGCCTTCACTTTCAACCTGAAGCCCCCTGGCTCT